AACAAACAAATGCAAGTATGTTTTTTCCAGTTGTCAACCATTTATCAATTTGACCATTTTGTAAAATTTCATTCAGTTGCCTGGCCAATATTGCATGTAAACTGGTCAGATATTTGAGCCAGAATTGGTAATTCTGGTTATTGGTCCTTTCCAGGTGATGTAATTGGTCCTTTCCAGGTGATGTCCAATTCTTTACTTTTTTAACTCGATTTTTGACCATCTCAGTTGTTATTTCTAATACTTGCATTTGTTTGTTGCCAATGCTTTTCTCAAAGTCATGTTTTTCCATTTTTACGTATTGGCTTTCAAAAATGTACATATTTTTGCTGACTCCAAAGTTTTCAGACAGGTGTTAATCCCGCTGTGGGGTAATGAGTCCAATGCCTTCTTGTAATCTATTATTATTATTATTATTATTATTATTATTATTATTATTATTATTATTATTATTATTATTATTATTATTAATAATTTTCTGAGTCAATTTTCTGCTGGTTTCAAGAATAGAAGATAGCTGAAGTTGAGATATATTTAAATTATTCTGTTTAGCCCGAAAATTGTTGATTTCTGCTTTGCCAGGTTTGGCTTTATGATTTTTAAATAACTTACCATCCATATGAAATGCTGATTAATATAATCAGGATCACTGAGCTGATTTATTAATGGAAGAAGAATTCCTTGAGAAAGGATTTCCTGAAAAATAATGGATAATAAAATTAGACATACTGTTCCTATATATAATTTCTGCAGAATATTACTTTTGATTCAGGATTTTGCTAAAATAATTAAAAAGCCAGATAAATCAGTTTATCCCTACAGACAATTGGATTGAGATGGGTGGCTATACAAATGGAATAAATAAAAGAATAAATAAATAAATATTTTTTCATATATTTTGAAAAATACATTTAATACACTTTAAGGATTATTTTTAGTAAGTAGCAGCTAGTTTTATGTTTTCAAATTTGTATCCTTAAGTAAGCACAAGCATAGTTTAATTCTTAGTACCAAATCCTATAGTAACATAATTAAACTGAAATCCTTTTTCATTAATTGTCTTCCACTGCAATTTAATAATACAAAGAATGGCTGCATAAACTGTAATCATGTTCTACATGCACTGCAGTGTCAACATACTGATGATTATCTAAAATAGAAGATAACTCAGTACATATTGGTTCTTTATTTATTTGAAACCTCTACTACCCTGATTTTAAATTACAGAATGTATACCATTATCTTAGTCTTGAATTACTAGTTTGATCCAAGATTCATCCAAAATTGAAGATTTATATGAAGGAAAGAAGAGAAATGCTGAAAAGATGAACAAGAACTAATATTGTAAGAAAACATGGTCTGAGATATGACCTAAAAATTGATTCTTAACTTTTCTTCTTCTTCAGAAGTTTATGACAGTCCTATATTCTTGAAATACAGGTTATTTATATTTGGTCATGTGTTTGTTCAGATCTCTGAAGAAAGCCTACAGTCCAATTCGTATTTGCAAAAGTCAATGTATTTCCTTAATACAAACTTGATAACAATCAAGAAATGCCCTGATTCAATCCCATTTCATCTCCTTGACTTCATAACAGCAGTTCAGGGGTGTCAAACACAAGGCCCGCAGGCCAGATCCAGCCTGCAATGTGGTCGGATCTCACCTTTGGGGCCCTCCTGGAAAATGTAAGGAGCTGCCTCGTGTCACTTCAGCCCAGTTTACCCAATGCAAAGAGGAAACATGCCAGCAGTTTCAGGAGTGATGTCAAGCTGGCTATGCCCACCCAGTTAGCCACACCCGGTGAGTGACATCAAGATGGCCACACCCACCCAGTCGGCCAAGCATACCTGGCCCCTAAAGTCATCCACAGCCCTGATGCGGCTCTCAATGAAATTGAGTTTGACACTCCTGCAGTAGATAATAAAAATTAACTTGGAAAAAGGCTAATTTTGTTAGTCTCGAAATATTAAGTCATTTCAATGTAAAGTTTTTTAACAACAGAATCTCATGGGTATTTAGTACAATAGTTATGTAATGAAGATAACTACATAGTTTGAAAAAGTAGCTTTCATTAATATTTTGTGCAACAGGGTAGTTAGAGATAGCCTACTGCCACCTGGGCTGTCTACTTTGCTGCAAAAAAAATTAGGCTACCCTACTGAACAGCAGACAGATGACACAAATGTGAAGCATTTCTTCATGATCATGGTTTTAAGCCATGGACAACATAACAGCTTATGGCTACACATTAATATTTATTGTTAATTAATAATTAAACCCGTAATGGTACTACTATTTTAAAACCTGCATTTTTACAGTACAAATTAATTGTAGTGTGAAATACTATTACAAATAAAAACAATATTTTATTCTATGCAAATTAATACCAAATTACAATACTCCTCGACTTACAACTTCAATTGTGATCACAATTTCAACTGTAAGTTGGAATTTTTAAAGTGTATCAGCATATGACTGGACACAATTTTACAATCATTTTTATTATAATCATTAAACAAATCACTGTAGCTTATTACAAAATAATTACAAATGATTGTTAAGTGAACCCATTACCCAATTGATGCTGGCTAGAAAGGTCGCAAATCACCATCACATGAATGCAGGGTATTAAATTAGTTGTAAATGTGAGCTGTTTGTCAGGCATCTGAATTGTGATCTTGTCACTAAAGGGATGATGTGACTAGGTTCAAGGGCAGGTCATAAATAACTTTTTCTGAGACCATTGCTTAGGTTTTCAAGATCATCCAAGTTCAGATAGATTACTTTAAACAAAGATCATATTATGAACTTAATTTTATGAATTTTAGGAGATATCAGATGTCCCAACCACAATATTCATTTTAAAGAAAGAAGGATGCTTGTATAGAATTAAAACTTTACTTAAGAGGATGTTGTGTAAAAATATGTTTAAAATGAGAGTTTTTAAGTGGTAAAAGAAATGCAGTAAAGCATTAGTTGTTAAAAATATGATGGCAAATAGTTGATTAGTGGTGGGAGAACTGGAAAAAGATGATACGTTATTATAATTATCCCTATCATTTTATCCTGTCTTTTTATAGATAATCCTTAATTTACTACCACAATTAGGACTGGAATTCTACTGCCTAAGCAATGTGATTGTTAAATGAGTCATCATATGATCAGATTCAACTTTACAACCATTTTGCAGTTCTTAAATGGCTAAGTAATCATAGATTCGTTAAATGACTCTGACTTCCTCAATTGACTTCGTTGGAAGCGAGTTGGGAAAGTCACAAATCACTGAAACCAACCATTGGTTTATGCAAGCCAGTAGCCAAGTGCCTAAATCATAATCATTTTTCTCTAAGTTTGGAATATAATACAACTTTGAGAATGGATTGTAAATTGTAAATCATATTTTCTAAGACTGTCATAATTTAAAACTGTCATTAAATGAATAGCCATAAGTGAAGAACTACTTGTTTATACATGTAGCTGTAGTTTGCAAAACACAAAACAAAATAGACTTTATAATTATTAGACTGGAATCTAATAATAATTTATACTCTTAACTTTGTGTCATTTAGCATGAAGCAAAAGTATCTGTTACAGGTTTTCTCATCACTGTCTTTCTTTCAGGATAGCTGGGTCAAAACAGATTTCAAATAAATACTCTACATATAACGAATCAGTCCACATAAGCTTCATTTCAAACAGACTCTCCTATCCCAAATGTATTAGTGGTTGTAAAAGTAAATACTTTGGATATAGGTCTCTTCAAGAGTGTGCAGGGACAACTCCTCTGCATTTGTAGTGTAAACTGTGACCAACACAGAGTTTTTCTCTTCATGATATGAGGAAAACAAAAATAAATATGAAATAAATAAATAATAAATATATAGGAGGTAGCAAAGTATCTAAAAACATTTTATTATATATTGTCTAAAATATTTCAGTGACACAAGTCAAGCATAGAAATATTCAACAATATAAAATATACAATATAAATAAAGGCCTACAGTCACTCTGGATTGACGTTAGGATAAACTACATAAATAAATAACTATAAAGCAGAGAAAACTGAAAACAAAAAAATTACAATGTAGCCTGGCTCATAAACATATACACAGATGTGATTGGATGAAAAAATGAAGTTAGTGTTTTTTAATAGAAGTATATTATTTTAAATAAAAGGAATGATGTACAAACAATAGAGTTATCCATATGCTTATATACAGTTATATAATATGTCTAGAATTATTAGATACAGAAGTATTAGAAATAGCAGAGACTTAATGCATGCCTCCTGTATTTTCAAGCAGATGTTTCATGCCTCAATCAGAGCTCCTATTCAAAAGAGGACTCAAAACCATGTTGATATAAAAGAATGAAGAATGGTCAATTTCTGGGACTTCTATAAAAATAAGTTCTCAATTGCAGACTGCCCATTTTATTTTTAGATATTGTTAATGAATATTGTATTTAATATTTATTTTTAAATTATATATTTTATTATATAAATATTATTTATATTTATATAATATACATAATTAAATAATATTTATAATATATTAATATTATGCAGCTCTTAGGCTAAATAATATTGGATTACTGCAGTCATATAATATGAAATTAAATTTACCCTGACAAAATATCTCATGATCTTGTTCTGGAAGTCCCCGGGAGGTAGCAATAAATACAGTAAAACTTCACACAGATCCCTTAGGAATCCTAAAAGTACAAGGTAAGAATGTGTATCAAAATCTAGTAATATCCATCTATCCATCCACCCATCTACCAAATACCATTGATAATTTTAGATGTAAATAGACAACTAAACTTTAGGTAAGTTTAGTCATAAGATTAATTTGAAACATTTTGCAACATTTCTAAACTAACAGAAAAATAGTATATAAATATGCTTCGTTTCTCCAATAGCAGAATTAAATGTCATATCTTATGATATAAAAATGCTTACTGACCACCAAACTATCAATATAGACGTTTAGTCAAATGAAGTAATTCCCTCCCTTAAATAGTTTACTGCAGACTTCTAATTTTTTTTCAGTCATACAATCATATTCTTTCCTTTAAAGTATATAATTCTTTTATAATATAGTAAAATAATTATATAGTCATATAGTTTGAACATAATACATAAAAACAGCTAATATTTTACCCTATATTAATTATATTGTTTTAAAGCTTAATAAAATGTTATCTATATCTATACTGTAGAATAGAGATGATGATCAGCACTTTTCATTTAATGTATAATTAAGAAAGAAAATAATCATATACCTTCTTCATCTTTGGGAGATGTGCAGACCAGATCACGACAGATGGTCTCTTCCATTTCAACTTCAACTTCAAAAAATGTATCTACAAGATCTTCTGCTCCATCTACACCAAAATTGGAAACTTGAGCAGATTTCATCTAGAAGAACTTTAGTCTGCAATAATCCCTATTACTGAAGTAATTGCATTCAGATTTCGCCTCCTTATAAACTTTTGTTATTTTAACATTTATGTACTATTTGCATATGGATTAGTAATTTAATTCTCTTTCCTACATTTTCAAAGGTATCCAGTTGCTAAAGAAGAGACTTACTGTCAATTTCGAAGAGTACATTGTATGTACAGCTGTACTGCAATTACAATATATAATGTAGATAGTGCCTTCCACATCAGAGTCAAAAGACAGCAAGGAATATGTTCTTGTGTTTGAATGTATAACACAAAGCAAAAAAGAATAATAATTCTTACTGGTTTTTGTGCAGTAGGAAGCAAACTGTTATTTGCTAGGCTGTACTGTATTGCACATCCTGTATTTCCATTTCTTTTTAGTTACTTTGCAAATCATGTGAAGATGGCCAAAATATTCTACATTCAAGACCAGCAATTCACGTACTCTACCCCTTCAAGTTGTCTTCCTTCCATCCAGGATTATGAGTTCTGGCTGAATAGAAATTAAACAAGAAAGCTTTTCTACAGAAGGCACATCTGTCTTTGGCCAGTGATTTCTGTTTATGCAGGAATCCAATGCTGTACTTACATAACCAAAATGTTCTAATCCCGCCCTTTAAATTCCCCTGCAATTGCCTCTATTCTCCCTTTAAAAAAATGCAAGGCATATTATCAGGTAGCCTAAAATCAGGGCAAGGATGAAGAAACCAGAAAAAGACAGTGGGGGAGACTGCATCTAGCAGTACAATGCGTGCCATATACAATATGCTATTTATCTGTAATGTAAACAGAACAGTGACTGAATTAAGGAACTTTTAGTAGAAAAAAACATAGTGTACCTTCTGTGTCGCTGTTTTTACTTCTGGAACAGCATTGATCCCAAGGTCCATATGGCCATGACTTTCAGGCAAGTCTTAAAGACCTGCCTCTTCCAGAAGGCATTGTATCAGGATGATTTGTGAATTCACTGATTTAGTATTGGTTTCAAGTTTTCATACTCTCTGGATGCTTGTCTATTATGTTTACAATATTATTTATTGTAATATTGCATTATCTTTATTTGTACAACACCTTGAACTGCATCAAAATCAGATGGCCTTATAAATATAATAACATAAATATAAAAATAGCAATAACTTTATACATAAGACAGATTGAATTAACGCAATTTAGGAAAGAAACTGCCTTCATTTAATTTATTATAACATTTCTATAAGGAGAACATATTTAGGCAGTACCTTTAATTTGTTCATCTCTTTCAGATATTCTTTGCTGAGCTTTTCTGAATACTCTAAGATGAGTAGTAAAGTCATCTACAATTCGAGTAGTAAAATAAGGTTGCCAATCTATTTCTTTTGTCCTTAAAAATTAAAAAAAAATGACAATGTATTACATAGAAGGATTTTTAATACAAATTGACACTTTATTTTTCTGATCTTAACTTGTTCATTGGATGATAATTTTAGTTAGATTTTTGACACTACAATAACACTACAATATTAAATATACAATAGGCACACAGAGGAAAAAATTAGAAGAGAGGGCAAAATGGATAGCCAAATTGGAGGTGGTGGAAAAAGCCTTGCAATAGGACCCAGTAAATGATAAGAAAAAAGAAGAAATGGCTAGAATTAAGCACGGGATATCTCTTCTAGACCAGGAGGATGTTGCTCGGAAACTTAGGGAGATTAAACAAAACTTTTTTGAGCATGCTAACAAACCGGACCGTTGGCTCTCTTATAGACTTCGGAAAGAAAGAAAGAGCAGACGTATAGCTCAACTGCAGAATAGTAAAGGGGAATTAGTAGAAACTAAGGGTAGAAACAGGAAATTATTCAAGGTTTTTTTCAGCAACTATATAGTAGAGAGGAAATTTCTGAGGACCAAATTAAGNTTTTTCTTCTTCTACAGTTTGATGGATTTGCAATAGCCCCCTGACCACTATTTTTCTTGGCAGGTACAACCTGTCGATGTCACTTCATGGATGTAAAGTGTGGTATATTTTCAAAGGTTTGTGTGTCTTCCAGTCCAAGTTTTCCAGTTCAGCAAAAGTCGAGTTGATGATTCCAGCTGAGTAGTGTATCACTGGAACTGCCCATGTATTACTGGCTTTAATTATGTTTCCAGCATGTTTAAAGCATTCAGCTTTAATTTTAATATTTTGCGGACCCTCATGATGTATTCCTTTTGCGTTGACTCTTTGACTTTTCCATTCAAGATGTTATCTGCTTCCAATGTGCCTAGGTACTGGTAACCATCATCCTTTTCTAATGCTTTTACTATATTTCCATTTCCCAATTCTATTCCTTCTGTTTTTTCCATTTTTCCTTGCTGCATGGATAATATAGCACATTTTTCAAGTCTAAAGTTCATTTTGATATCACTGCTGAACAGTTGAACTGTGTTGAGTATTGCTTTAAATTAAGTGGGGCTTTTCGCATATATTTTAAAGTCATCCATATATAGTAGATTGTTTATCTTGCCATGTTGGCTTGAGATTTGGTATCCCAGTATTGTGTTTTGTAGGATTATTGTCAGTGGAATTAATGCAATGTTGAACAGCAGTGGTGAAAGTGAACCCCCTTGGAAGATTGCTCGTCTGATGTTAACTTCACCAATGTTCTCCCCATTTTGTTGTTAGAACTGTTTTTCCATTTTTACGTATTTGTTTTCAAAAATGTACATATTTTTGCTGATTCCAAAGTTTTCCAGACAGGTGTTAATCCAGCTGTGGGGTAATGAGTCCAATGCCTTCTTGTAATCAATTATTATTATTATTATTATTATTATTATTATTATTATTATTATTATTAT